CAAGGAGCAAGCGTCTTTTAATTTCATGGCTGCAGTCTCCGTCTGCTGTGATCTTGGAGGCCCAAAAAATGAAGTCTGTTACTGCTTCCATTGGCCGTGGACAGGTCAAAAAAGTCAAGATGGCAGCCCCAACCCCATTTTTGTAAGTGGACATTGTTTGTTTAAATCGGACAGGCAAAAAAAGGGCTCGAAAGCCCCCCCCCCCGCTGGATGAGCCCCATAGATAAATTTGCAACTGGATTCAGACCAAAAGGGGGGCTGAGGAAACTAAGCAAAGAAATTGCATTTCATGTCACAGGCTGCAGCCTGAAGGGGAAGGTCTGGAGGTGCTGCGTTCAAATTCAGCTGGGCTGCGAATCTCTGCAGAGCCCAAGGGACACCCTGGAAGCATAAGAAGTCCCCTGGCACACGCAGGTATTTTTATTTATTTATTTATTTATTTATTTATTTATTTATTTATTTATTTATTTATTTATCCATTCGTTCAATGTATGTCGCCGTCCATCTCCGCATTCGTGACTTGGGGTGGCTTGCAATTAAAACTGATTTTATTCCTGGTTTTATTAGCGGCAGCTCACGCCCAAGGGCAACCTGGCCATTTAATTCTCAGCTTCAGGTATCGGAAGTCACTGTGGTCCGTTTCATAAACATGCTGGATTGATCCCGATCAATCAATTAATCAATCGATCAATCTTTACTATGGTCATACAGCAATATAAGAGGATGGGGCCCTGTTTATAGGAAGAAACAAAAATAGAATGGGTAGGAAGTGGTATGTAATAGCCGTATAAACTGCCTAAACTATACATATACATATACATATACATATACATATACATATACATATACATATACATATACATATACAAGACAGAGGATATAAAAGGTACAAACGGTGAGAATATAAAGGGTAAAAAGCTAAAAATATATAAAAGAGAAAGGGTGAAAGACATAAAAAATGTGAATCTAAAAAGGGTTGGGGTAAAAGTGGGGTACATGGTGCTCTGTCCTCCAATGTTTCGCCCCCAACAACAACCTTGTGAGGTAGAAGAGACCGAGAAAACAGTTGGCTCAAAGTCAGCCGGTGAGCTGTCATTTGAAAACTCCCCAAACGCCACATCTAATACGGCAATTTTGCAACTGGCGCTGCCGTTTTGTGGATTTTAAAAGGGCCAGTTCCTACTTCAGCCTTACCCAGGGTGAGTTATTTATTTATTATCTCAATATATGTGTTATGTCATTAAGCATTTTACGTATGGTTTTAAATTGGTTTTTATTATGCTATATTATAGTAATGTAATTTTGCTGTCCAGTTCTTTTATTGCCTGATCATCTGCGTGCGTGTGTGCTAGTTCAACCAAGAGAGAGAAAAACAGAAGAGGAAACTGAACACAGAGCCTTAGAAGAGTTGGGGGCAAAATGAAGACAAAATCATAGAATGTAAGAGAGACCCTGGAGATCATCTCGTGCAGCGTTTCTCAATCTCAGCACCTTTAAGATGTGCAGACTTCAATACCCAGAATTCCTCAGTCAGCACGACTGGCTGGGGAATTCTGGGAGTTGAAGTCCACACATCTTAAAGCTGTTGAGGTTGAGACACACTGATCTAATCCAACACCTTAGTTTTAACACCTTAGCAGGTCATTGCAAATCCAGCCAATTTGATTGGTGCATAAGGCAGGGCCTTTGTGCAAATCCAGAACAGTTTCCCACCATTGATTAATCCAACTGTTGATTAATCCATGGAAACTATTGCATGGTAGAAATGAAGCTGCAGCCTAACCCATTATTTCTTGATTGCCTTGAAAGATCACCTCAGCCCATATTCCTCCTGGACAGGTAGAAAAGGAAATATTAGAGCTGACTTTCATTACTTCATCTTCTGGATGGTTCAGGAAAGACCTCAAGAGTGGGTTCAAAACCAAGAGAGCTTTTTTTTAAAGCAACTAATAACACTTTCATTAAAAAAGGGGGTCTTACATGCCATTTGATTCCACAAGTGATTACAACTGCCTCTGAGTCAGTACATTACCCCACAATGTTATAAAGATCTGTTTCCGACTGCAAATGGGAGCCTCTTACGTTTAAGGCATTTAAAAACAGCCGCATGGGTGATCTCACTCAATTACTTTTTAGAAACTTCCCAGTTCACTCTATTTAACTTTATGTTTTTGGGAAATTGAGCTCTTTGTCTCACTTCCTCTGACAATATGCAAGAATGAACTTGGTTTAAGGCATGTTTGAAGCACCCAGGAATCTAGAGCTGAGCTGGCATATACACTGT